ATTTCAGATGAACTGACGAAAGATAATATTGTTACCGCCGACATTACACTTCCAATTGACGGTCACGACGTGACGGTACTGGTCGACACTAGTACTGATTTTTAAATGAGTGTGAATCTGGCTGACAAGCTCAGTAAGATGAAAATGAAATGGACGAGACCGAAAACTAGAGGAGCTGGAGGCCAGCTACTGACGCCTACCTGAAAGTGTACCACAAGATTCAAGACAGGTAACTCATCATCCATCACCACTTTCGTTATTTTTTCTGAGGGTTGCAAACAGGCTAGCTTGGGCATAGATTTCTCGCGGGAGTACGGTGCCATATTAAATATACCAGACGGTGTACTGATCTTCTCAGCGAACCATAGCGCAGCACTGCAGTGCAAGTCCATGCACTTCATTGACAACGTGACAATACCATTGTTATCATGCCGTGTCGTTTTTGCCACGCACAATACTGGAGAAGGTGTCACCGAACAAGTATCGACCCTTTTACTCTCTCGAGGAATTGCTATTGCTAGAAGTCTCATCAGTTAAGTGTATGGGCAAGCAGCGGTCTTGTTGAGAAACTTCAGCAACGAGCGTTGACACATTACGGAGGGTACCACAGTTGCGTACTTCGACGAAATTGCAGAATTCCGTCAGTGCTTCGCAGTGCAACAAGCAGAGATGCCAGCCGTTAGAGCACCACCACCTGTTAACGTGAGCCCAGATTTATCGCCAGCACAGAGAAAGAATCTTCTAGATGTTCTCCTCCTGTTCAAAGATTGTTTCTGACCAACCTCGACGGTACATCAAACACCACTGACAAAGCACCAAACTATAACAGAAGAGACGGCAAGACCAATTCGACCAACGCGTGCCACCAAAAGAACTCGAAGCAATCCAAGAACGATTCCAAAAAAATCATACACGTTGACGTCATGCAGCCGTCAACAAGCCCTTGGGCATCACCAGTAGTGCTGGTTAAGATAAAAGCCGGCAGCTTACGCTTCTGTGTGGACTACCACAAGATGAACCGTGTGACAAAAAAAGACGTAACCGCATATCGACGATTCGCTTGCCAGGCTAAGGCATGCCCGCTTCTTCTCATCGGTGAGCACGAAAAGCGGATATTGGCAAAAAAAGGTCGATGATCGAGACAGAGAAAATACTGCTTTTGTAACGGGTGATGGGCTTTACGAAGTCATGCCCTTCGGATTATGTTCAGCGCCAGCAACATTTCAGACACTAAAAGATATCGTCCACTCAGGCCTTAAGTGGCCGACGTGTTTGGTATACTTCGAGGACGTCATTGTTTTCTCAGCAAAATTCGAGAAACATTTATGACGGCTGCTATTGGTATTTCGAGCAATACGGTCCGCCGGCCTGGCGCTGAAACCTGAGAAATGTCATTTTGGTTTCTGAGAACTCCAGTTCTTAGGACATGTTGTGAGCCATGAAGGTGTTCGCCCGGACCCCGTCAAGATTGATGCCGTCAGAAAACTTCCGGTGCCAACGAATAAGAAGGCAGTGAGACGTTTTCTTGGTCTCTGCGCCTACTACCACAAATTTATTGCCAATTTGTCGCACATAGCGTCGCCCTTAACACTTATAACGAGAGACGGTGTTCCCTTTGTAATGGGGCGTAGAATAACAAGTCCCATTTCACGATCTACGACAGTGCCTACAGACACCACCAGTGCTTGCTCACTTTGACGAGGACGCTCCTAGCATGATCCACACCGATGCCAGCAACGTAAGTTTAGGCGCTGTGCTGGTCCAGTGGCAAGACTCTGCCGAGCCAGGGATTGCATATCCAAGTAGGATGCTTTCCCGTGTAGAGTCCAATTATTCCACAAATAAAAACTAATGTCTTGATGTAGTAAGGGCAATTATGATGAAGTTTTGCCCATACCTCTACAGCCGTTCTTTCCATGTAGTCAGCGACCACCACTGGCTTTGCTGGCTGACTAACTTGGAGCACCCATCTGGTCGGCTAGCGCGCTGGAGCTTACACTTTCAAGAATTCTACATGACAGTCGTATCAGGACGGCAACACTCTGATGCCGATTGCTTATTCAGGCCACCTATAAAGCAAGACGATGTCCCAGAAGAGGATGACTTAGCATTTTGAGTAGTTGACCCAGTCAGCATTTCGTCTAGCAGAAAGAAGACAGCAAGTTTATTCCCTTAATATTTTCCTAATGATCAGTCTACAAGCGTTCGTAAGATATTTGCAAGGAGCCTGCCGTCATTCTTCTTGCGCAGAGGTGTCCTATATGACTTTTGCTCCTGCGGAAGGGCCCACTTACTTGTCATCCCGACATCTATTCGGGAGGAGATCCTGAGAGCTTGCCACGATGAGCCGACCTCCAGCCACCTCGAATGCACGCACACATTGGCCAGAATCCAACAAAAGTACTACTGATCGAAGCTACCAAGCACTGTAAAACATTACGTCTGCACGTGCCTCGATTGTCTACGATGAAAATATCCACCTTTAAAATGAGCCGAATTGTTGCAACCAGTTCAAGTGCTCCCCTTGCCTTTTGCTCAAACTGAAATAGACCTCCTTGGACTATTCCAGACTTCGGATGCTGGAAACAAGAAGGTAATTATCGCTACCGACTACTTTACTCGCTATGCAGAAACAAAGGCTTTATCAAGCGGCACCGCAGTAGAAGTGGCCCGATTCTTCATTGAATATATCGTTCTGAGGCATGGTAAGAAAGGAAGACAAAGCAAGAAAGGAAAACAAAGTTCTTGCCCCGTCCTCTTTACGAGCGCCTTGCATGTAATTAAAGTGAGCTCTCCTATATCCGACTTCTGCTGTGTCAGCATCGTGACAATATTGAGGCCTCAAAATTGAACAGTCGTAAATTTACTTTTTTGAGAGAAACGGGAAAAACTGAAAACACATAGTTGGTGCAGAAGACTGAGGCGCAAAAACATATCGTGAAGCAGGAAGAGCAGAAGAGAAGACAGGACAGTGCCAACTACCAACTTTTTAATGCAGTTTTGTCTTCTTTCCTGTGGTTTCCTAGGCGGTCATTAAACAATAGGTAGTTCGCGCTGTTCTGTCTTTTCTTCTGCTCTTCCTGCGTCACGATATGTTTTTGCGCCTCAGTCTTCTGCACCAAGTATGCACCAACTAGCCCAAAAACAAGTCCTTTTGAAAACACATAGCTTCTTCAAAAAGCAACAATCATGGTGCGCATGTTTTGCAACCCTCATAAAGATGCTCATAAATTTGTAGCAGAGCTTCCAACACAGGTACCAGCAAATTATAAAGAAGCCTCGAAGTCTATTCTTCATTTCTTGTAGGTTCTGCATGTTAACAGCACCAAGAATCTGGACAGTTAGAATGACATTACAAAAAATTACCACTTCCTGGTGTGTCAAAATTACTTGGAGAAAGCAAGATGTCAATGTCAGAAAAATACTTGCAGAAAATGTCAGAAAAATACTTTCAGAAACCAAATCTGTCAATTTTAAAAAGTGAATATTTTTGTCACTTTTTGGTCTCATAGACCAGTCTGCCCCCTTAATGTACACAACTTGTTTAAGCTAGCTGTGACCCTTTGTGTCAAAAAGGAAGCAAGCTACATTAGATGAGCTAAACCTTCTCCATGTCTTGACCTATTTGCAGTGTGCTGCGTGTAACTGTAACCAATCATTTTGATGAGGGAACTGTGGTGTTCGATGGATAGTTCAACAAGCCGCCCTTGAGCAGCAATGTCAAAAGTACTAGTGTTTTTTTCCTGAAACGAATACAACCAAAAAATACTTGTGCACACATTTGGAACCCACGACTTCATAGTACTTTTCATGTCATAATAGAAAGTGACTGACTATAGAATAATCAAATATTTAATTAAGTACTATTTACAATTAATGACTGACAACACACTGCTTCATTTCCTTTCTTGAATGTAATATTGAAGGCCTTGGAATTTCGCTATGTGAATTTGGCAGACATGTAGACACTGCATCTTAATTCGCACCTCAAGGGAATATTGCGCCCTGAAAAGTCAAGTGAAACCCAAGAAAGAGCCAAATAATCTGTTCCAGATACATTTCATAAACTTCATTGCAACACAGCAAAGGACATGAATGCCAGCCAGAAAGAAATGCACGACGACACAGTGCTACACGTGTACACACAAACGCAGTGCTTTGCGTTGCCTTATGTTTCTCCTTGGTTCCAGTGGGTGCGGTATATTTGAATAACAATGGCAGCACAATGAAATAGGACACAAAATGGTAACACTGGTGTCGATGACTTTGGTGGTGCTGCAATAACGTTCACGAAATGAACTGCTGCCAACAAGCCCATCTATCAATCCTTACTGGCTGTCCACGATAGTTGCTTTTGTTTAATGATCAACCATGAACTCGGTGTTTGGGATCCTTGACAGCAGGAGAACACTGAAAGGATTGAAAGAATACAAAATTTAGCTGCGAGATTTGTTCATGCCAAGTATTCCCACCACTTGAGCATATCAAGTGCAAAGGAAAGCCTTGGATGGAAGTCTCTGCAGCAACGCAGGCAATACTTACAGTTAAAATTTTTTCATAAAATATTTCATTAACACTGGCATTAATTAGGATTGTCATTTGTATATTTCTAATTACGTATCACCCAGCCTTGATCATGCCTATAAAATCAAGGAGATAAGATGTGCGACGAACTATTTAAGGATAGCTTTTTTTTCACCGAACAATTCGTGAGTGGAATAAGCTGCCTCAAGACATAGCCACCATTATATCCCCTGATGTATTTGCTTCCTCTCTGCAGGATACGCATCGTCAATAGCCCTAGGTATCCCCTGTGGCGTTTTTGCTTTTGTGTTTTATACGAAGTGTTCTTGCTGCTGTTGCTTTTTTTTTTGTGTAAATGGCTACTTACCGCTGTATCTGTACAAAGTATCTGATTTTGTTATGGCTATGCTAGTCTGTACCCCCCGACTGTAATGCCGAAAGGCGCTGTGGGTATTGTAATAAAGGAGAACACACACCTTGGTGATGACACGCACTCCTCGCAGCATATCACCCAAGGCCTGGTCCTGCTCACGTGCCGAGTTGACGCCAGCCATCTTGTGGTCCATAGCCGAGTTGTCAGCCACTGCCTTGAGGATGTGCGACTTGAGCCTCTGCTGGATGCTGCCACGTGAGGGTGCGGTGGCGGGTTCCGGTTGCGTCCTCTCAATCAGCGTCACCACACTGGCCTGAATCTGCATTTTTGAAGAGGCAAGCATCAACAAGAAGATTAGTCTATCGGGTTCCCAAACTTTTCAGCATTAGCAGAAACAGTTGGCTGAAATTCATGTTTGTCATGTCTCTTTTGTGCTTCTTTCAAACAGTTTCCCAGGTTATGAGAGATCCTTTAGTGGAGGGCCACAGATAATTTAAACCACCTGGTGTTTTGCCAGGCAAACTTGCCAGGCAAACTCTGGCAATTTTTTGAGGTCAATGAACCTCTACAAAATTTTCTGGCTATTTTCCTTTGCATGTTTCTGCCCTTTGTGCCAAATCACAGGCTGGAGAGATGTGCGAATTCTTTATAAGTGAATTTTATAAATTGCCCCGACTCTCCCAAGTGGCTTCCCACAATTATTGGCAACTTGTGCTCGTGACGTCATTTGTGGCAAAGCAACAAAAGTGATGAAACCAAGGCGCCATTGCATCGTCTGCTGTGTGCAAGGCAATGCATGTGGTTGGCCAACGCTTCCTTGTTTCAGCATGTGAATTTATGTTTGTTGTGAGCCTGTGCGCAATGGGTGGCAAGTGATGTAGCGGTGTGGCTTCACATGATTCGCCGTATCGAGCTTCGAGTGTTTCATGACTTGAAGTCACAAAACACTTAGAGCTAACAACTAACTTTCATCTAGATTTCAGTGTTTTAGCTGGCAGTGCCGGTTTACCACTAGTAAACAGCGATTATACTGTACCAGAAGAAGAGTGCAGATGGGTGAACATTTTGGTAATGTGCTATGTGTGCAGGATATCACATGAAAACTTTCTATAACATGTACAGGATGCATCTGAACTTGGCCTAGGACGTCGTGCAAAAGGTGTCTCGTACTTGGCTTATATCAAGTTCTTTTGCCTCGGCCAACATGATCTTAAATATCCATATTGCCAAACTAATGCACTCTTCCCATAGCAATATTAAGCAGGTTTAGTTAATCTCAGAAGTAGCATCTCACTCGATCATGACCTTAGAAGCTTGAGCTACCTGGACAGGTGGCGCCGTCTGACGGTAGAATGGGCAACCAGGCAAGAAAATGACTGTGTCCTGCTTTATTAAAAGGAATGGCGTTACTATTAGTTTGTTTCGGTGTGTGTCCAAATTGCAGCTGTCATTTTCTGACAGTTCCAAGAAACTTGTGCATGTAGCATGGCCTGTCACAGACAGGCAAGAAAATGACTGTGCCCTGCTTTATTAAAAAGGAATGGCGTTACTATTAGTTTGTCTCGATGTGTGTCCAAATTGCAGCTGTCATTTTCTGACAGTTCCAAGAAACTTGTGCATGTAGCATGGCCTGTCACAGACATGCTACAGCTGCTGTGGTTCGGTTTGGTTTGGGAAAACTTTATTGTGAAAGTCTGAAGGTGTGCGCCCCGGGCCGCTCCCACGATGGGACAGTAAGGCCAAGACCTAGCGCCGCATCGTGGGCCCTCTAGACAACCCAAAGTTGTGATATTATGTATAGACTCCGAAGACCGGAGTACCACATTCTGGACGATGCTGTATCAATGCCCCGTACCAAAGGGCACTTTGGAGCATGTTGTGTAAGGTGGCTAAACCGCCATATTTTGTACGCGAGTTGGTTAAATAAACTTCAGGGTAAAGCTTGTAGAGAAAGGCAGGCTTGAGTATGTTTATGTTTGAAGTAATCGCAATGTAAGTGGCTGCGCTCTATTTAGATTCCTATGAGGAGGTGGAAAGATTCTCCTATTCATAGCGAAATGTTGAGCAATTTCATTGTACGTAGTTGGCGGATCCCTATTTACGAAATCTCCAGTTCGACCCAAAGGTCCTCCATGGCCGCCAACAGCTAACCCTCGTGCCTTGGAGTAAGCCAACTCCTTGAGATTGAAAATCCCTCCGTCCATGTTTCCCATTAAGCCGGGAACCATTTACGGGTATGCTTTGTAAGCGACTTCTCACCGAGTATGATGCGTTCACTTTTTTATCTGAGCGTCTGCTCTTCGCCAGTTTCACGTGACTGACATGCCTTGTACGATTTCTGTTTCTGCCAACATCTACGTCAGACAGTACAGCTCAGTTGGGTTTTGGTGGTGCAATTTTTGCTTATTTAAAATTATTGTCCACTTTACAGAGTATTTCTGCTATCAGGTCCATGACAGGAGTGTCTCAGAAACATGAAATCAACAATAGTTTCATATGATTGAAAAATCGCTGGAGCTGGTCTTTACACAGAGACCCAGCTTCAGTTGCATATTTCCTTATTTTTGAGTAGATTTCAATAAAGCTTTTGCAGCTCACGTATTATTTGTCTTGATTTCAAGTATACCATTATTTTTTCTAGATCAACTTACTGTTTCGCGTATACTGTTAGATGCAAAACTTATTTCTAAACTGTGAGAGTGAGAAAGTCAATAACCTGGAATGTATGCAGCTAAACAAGAATGAATGTTCTAGGCCCGTTAGAACAAAAGTTATACAATGAACTCTCCATTGTGAGGTTTATTCAAACAAAGGCAGAGAGGTTGGCACCTGAGCGATAGTATGCTCTACTCTATGCAAGAGGAGAAGAATGAGGAAGAGAGTTACTGGATGACGATGGGGAGGTAAGGAGGTCAACAGTCCCGTCAGGTTGGCGCAGTGCTATAAAAGCGCATCCAGTCCTGTGGCCGCAGAACTTTCAGCTACCCAAATGTGGTGAGTAAGGGAGTCGCTAAATGGGCCCAGATGATCGGACACACTCAAGACAGCCTGATAAGACACTCTTTACATCGAACAAAAACAAGATGACACAACATCACGACGATAGAGTTAACCAGAGAAAGTGCATAAAAAGGTTCCTTTTATGTGCGAGCAAAGTCTACATTTTTACAGTCAATGCCCTTCACTCCACGACACCGAGTCTCGAAGACGGGACTTGCGCGCACCGTCATTGCAATGACCGTAGCACCGAGCAACGAGGCATAGAGTCCGAGGTGGTAGCGTCTATTGTGCAAACACGTCTTGTTGTGAGGCTATCTGGCTTGAGCTTGAAGAATCTGTGCCGCACCATGACATCATGCTGGCGTCCAGGTCACAGTCCACCAAGGCGGGCACCCTGAGCACAGAGTCCAAATCCCTGATGACAATCAAAGCCAGCCGTGCACAGCTCCACGCACCAGCTTTCTTTCTTCTCCCACTTCAATTGCGAGCTCAGGGTTTTACCCCTACGGCGCCCTCATCATCACACAAAGGAAACTGGTACATTAAACTGAAGGTTTACTACACTGAATATTTACAGAACAGCATAGGGCACAGCCAAAGTCAAGTCAAACATGCCAAATGCAATTTATTTTGAAAATAATTTTGCAATTTTCATCTGTACTGGCACAACACAAGAAGAGAGAAAGCTGCACAGAGTGTATACATTCCTGTACACTGCCTCTGGAACAGATTGTTGCTTTGACACCAAGTCTTGCAACTTCCTAATAGATCTTTCAGCCTCGACTAGAGACTCACATTTTGAACCTGCTTCAGCCATTACTTCTTCAGCACACATTACTTCTTTAGGTTTCTAATTACCATTAGAAATAATTTCCAAATATCACCACTCAACATAGGTACTAGGGCACACCTGGCTTATTCTCGTCTCCTGCCCAGCTTTTTGGGCCGTATGCATGAGCGATGCCGCACTACCGCCGATATATGGGCAAGATTAGGGCGGCACACACTGGCTACACCAGTGCAAAGAGCACGAAACTACCTTAATTTGATCGCAAAAATGACCCCTGATGACATGTTCATTTGACTGAAGTATCCACCGTTTAGAAGTTAGTTTAACGGAAAGATTTTAGCAAGGAATGCATAGAAAAACTGCTCAGTATTTTCTAAAAGTTAGTTTCAGATATTTGTTAAACCTGCATTCGTTTATGTTGAACATTCCCAGCTTGACCCTAGTTTGATTCTGCTTGACATCGCTCACTCTTGCAAATGTTCAATGTACCATAGCTTCTTTAGGAGCTTATTCCTTATGCTCGAGCCATAGCCGTTCGTTTTCATTGCTTTTGCTGGACCTACAGCTGTGCCCCTCATTGATTGCAAGGACACTCACTAGACGGCGCGCCGCATGCTGTAGTTTAATAGGAGGCCACTAGAGGGCAATGCCTGTATATAGTGCGCGCTCATGGCACGCGACAACTGGCAAGTTCATATAAATACAAGCGTCCTACTACCATCAGGGAAACTTGTATTGCAGTCTCGAACTTTCAATTACATATAACAATTCAGGATCCTTTGGCTTTGTACTTACCACTCAAAGGAAACATTTCCCTGAGCTTCAGGTCATATAAACAACAACAATCAGCGGAACCTTTTTCATCCGTCATATCATATGAAAATAAATTGTGCCCATCCTGCATCAACAGGTAAATAATAAAACATTGTGTACACACACTCACACCACACTTCCCATGCCATGTCTTTGTATGATGATCGAGTAGACGTATGGAGGGATCACGGTTTACCAGATTTAATCTCTAAAGCAAGCTCCTTCATTTTCACTTCTGGATGTCTTGTTTCAAATAGATTCAGAACTACCATTCTTATTTTACTGTATACAGTATTCATTCCAAACAATTGCGATCCCCTGACTTGCGTGCTCACACTCACAGTGTAGAAATAAATCTTGTACCTAAATATACAAAAACTATTCAATAGCTTTAACACTATGCATTGTATTACAAGATTAATTGCATGTTTGAAATTAGCACATAATATTATACGTGCGAAAGCTTCATAACAATATGCTCGAAAAACAAAAAAAACATGTTTCTGAAGCAGGATATCCCCTTAAAGGGATCCTGAAATGGTTTTAATGATTTCGTATAAACCCATCAAGCCAGCAAAGCAAGTCCTAAGGATCAATCGAACAAATATTCAAGCTCTTTGCGTCAACTGCGCAATTTATTACGAGACTTTAATAATATGAGTCGCTACAAATCATTGTGGCTCAGCTGAATGAGTTTTCAACTGCTCGCACTTTTT